GCTGTGCCATTTGACAGTTCCACCAGCAGTGTAGAAGAGTTCCAATCTCTCCACAACCTGGCCAGCATTTGTTTTGTTTGTTTTTTGACCAGTGGTACTGTAGAGTGAGATTGTATCTCACTGTCATTTTGGTTTTTCTCCCTAGAGTCATGGTGGTGCTACTGGGTAAGCACTGGATTGCTAGCTGCAAGATCTATGGCTCAAAGTCACCAGCCACTCCACAGGTGAATGGCTATTTGCTTGGTAAATAGTATGTCCTCAGAAACCCCATAAAGGGGCGCTATGAGTGGGAACCGACTCAATGACAGTGGGTGGGAATGTCTAATGATCTCAAGCATCCTTTCATGTGTTTGCTCACTAACTGAATGAGTCTTTGATAAAGTGTTTATGTTCTTTGTCTATTATTTATTTATATCTTAAATACTTTTATTGGCATATACTTCACATATCATACAATTTAATAATTCAATCATTTTAAGATTTGTGCAATTATCACCACAATCAATTTCAGAACAGTTTCCCCCATACTCATTGTTAGCTCTTCATTTCCCCCATTCTCCTCTGCCATGCCTCTGTCTGGTTACTATGTCTATAGATCTACCTATTCTGTATTTCATATACAGAAGATCATACAAAACAACTATACAAAATCATACATAGCAAGCAAACAAACCCCCAAATCCCCCAAAACAATGACTAGACAATGCATATAAAACTTCAAAGAAAAACCAGAAAATATTAAAAACTGAAACAACTTTAAAATGGGTGAAATTGGAGATCAAAGGGAGTATTACATTTTATCCTAACTATATATCTGCTATAAAAGATTACAATGCTCTCTATGATAGCAAGGCTATCCGAATCCCCGGACTATGGTCAAAGGGGATTTACCAGAGGCTTAATACACGTGAAGACACTGCTTCCAGTCATACATAGCTTTCTGCAAACCAGGTGTTCACAATTTAAGCTCTGTTACCATTCCCTTCTTTGGTTTTGGGTTTTATTATTTACAATCCTTAGATCACACAGAGTGGTGTGATTCTCCCATGTGAACTCAGTTGATGCCTCACTTGGATGGCTGCTTGTTTTAAGACAAGCCTTTCAGACCCCAGATGTCACTATCTGGTTTCTTCACCACACTTTGTTATAGAACCCATATCTCAGTGATCTTTTCATGAGGGTGAGCATCAAGCAGGGCCATGTCACAAGAACTCATTGTTCTTATTTGGGGCCAGAATGAGTGTGAGCCTAGAATCCATTCATATATCTATGGTTTATATATGTCTGGTTTATTTTAGAGACATCATTAACCTTGTATGATAGAGAACATTATAAATCACCCTCCTATGACATAAAATACTTCTACTGGTAATGTTATTGATTTAGCCAATGATACAGCATTTAAAGTACTATTGTAAAAAATAAAAATATAAAACACTGTTGAGAAAAGAAAATTACACATGTATTATATTCTTTGACTAATTTTTAATTGGATTATCATTTTGTTGTTGAGGTGCTAACAGACTTTTCTATAAATTTTAGAGATTAAACTCTTGGCAGATATTTTGTTGCCAATTCTCCCAGTCTATAGGTTCTGTTTTTACTTGTTTGCTAGTCTTTTGATGAACATAAATATTTAATTTTTGGAGGTCCCAGTTATCTCATTTGTCTTCTGCTATTTGAGCATTTTTAGCTATGTTTGATTTTCTACTTATACCGTAGATTAGGGTCCCTAGCTTTGTTCCTATTTTTTTTCTTCTATGAATTTTAGTTTTAAGTTTTTGACATATTTTGGGTTAGCATTTGAATATGGTGTGCAGTATGGGCCTTGTTCCATTTTTTCTATAAACAGATATCCAGTTTTGCCAAGAATAGTTACTAAAAGATAATCTCTTCCTCAATTATTGGACTTTGGTCCTTTGTTGAACTGTCCACAGTCCATGCTTTTTAAAATGAAAACTTTCATGAGAAGTACACAATAATTGTCTCTATTTTACCACTTCTGTTAGCCCTATTGGGCTTCTGCCTCCTTCAATTCAAAGAAACCATTCTTAGCCTGAAAAACAAAAACACAAACTCACTGCCATTGAGTCAACGCCGACTCATAAGGCCATCTCTAATGTTCAAATCTGAACAGTGCTTTTTCAGTCCTCATCTTATTTGATTTTCTGCCGGGCTTAATAGGCCATACCCTTTTTCTCGAAGCGTTCTGACCTCTAGCATATCACTATATTGCACTCCCTGTATGTCTGTCTCTTTTCCTACCACCCACAGGATCACACCCTCTGCTCTTCTCATTCTTTACGTTCTCCATGGGTAACCTCAAACACTAGCATCAAACCCACTGCTATCAAGTTGATTCTGATGCATAGCAACCACGTAGAACAGGGAAGAAATGTCCCCGTGGTTTCCACGGCTGGACATCCTTATGGGAGCAGAAAGCCTCATCTTTCTCTGTGAAGTTGTTGGTGGGTTTAAACTACTGAGCGGGGGGTTAGCAGTACAATGCAGAACACCCAAGGCCACCAGTGCTCCATGCATGGTATGCCCATGTGGTTTTAAAAAATGTACACATTTTATTATTGTTGTTGAAAACAGAATGTACACCAATTCAACAATTTTACATATAATTTCATGAAATTACATTTGTCAAGTTGTGTAACCATTCCCTATCCTCCATGTTTCCGATCTTAATCTTTTGAGCTACTGTTGTCAGTTTGATCTCCTCAGATCTTAAGGGAGTGCAATGCTCAAGGCAGACATTCTTTGCTCGTTAAGCTGAAATGTTACTTGGTTTTAAGAAGACTTCAGGGATTCAACTAGCCTCAAGTGCTCCAGAAAAATCTCGACTCAATTAACATGTGAAATCCTGCTTTGAATATTCTCCCCTTTGATCAGGGTTCCTCTTAAGAATCTTTGCTGAAAATGGTTAGTAGGGCAAGCAACGTTCAGTTCTTCTAGTCCTACAGCAAATGGAGTAATCGTTCCATGGAGGCAAAGCGCTACATATTCTATTTTCTCCTCCCATTCCAGACTCTTCTTCTGTTGCTCTCTCGGTCAGTAGATTGCAAGCTTTTAGAGCCCAGTCACTAAACAAGGTGGGAAGTAAAACAAAAGCACTGAAAAACTAAGGATCAATCTACATGTCAGTCAATGACTCCTAAAATTTACATGTGTAGCCTACATAGCCCCCAGAAATTTCAGATTCAATTAGATTACATCTAATTGAAGATTACATCTTCAATTAGAAGTCCCAGACATTTCACAGTCGATATATTTTTTAATTTTTAATTTATTTGGGGTCTCTTACAGCTCTTATAACAATCCATACATATATCCATCGCGTCAAACACTTCTGTACATATGTTGTCATCATCTTTTTCCTAACATTTTCTTTCTACTTGAGCCCTTGGTATCAGCTCCTCATCCCCCCTCCAATGAACCCTTGATAATTTATAATTTTTTTTCATGTCTTATACCGACCGCTGTCTCCCCTTACCCTCTTTTCTGTTGTCCGTCCCCCTGGGATGGGGGCTATAAGTCGATTATTGTGATTGGTTCTCCCTTACTCCCCCCCACCCCTTCCCTTACCCTCCTAGTGACCAGAACATGTATACTGTTATAGATGATAAGAGCTTGCAACACAAGGAATCCAAGACAGATACCCTGCCCCCAGGACCAATAAGGGGAGTAGCAATAGTAGTCAATATATCTTAAGAGTGAGCTCACCAGCCTCACCATCCCTGCTCATGTATTCTTGATTTTAGTTTGCAGCACCAGGATAACATTCCTAACTGTATCCTAAAAACGGAGAATTGCTCCTGCCTGTTCCCAGTCCAAAAATTCAACTCCTGCCTATTTCACACTAAATATTTATAGAACCTGTTCTCTACTCTCCAGGACCACAGTTTGAACCCTAGTTCAAGCAACCATCGTTTCTCATCAAGACTACTGTAAAAATCATACCTATCTCCCTGGCCCTTCTTAGCACATAATCAACCGTCCTAGCAACATATGTAGCACTCTCCACAATTTGGTCTCCGTCTTCATTCTTACTACTCACCATTCAGTCTTGAGTTTTTGGTCTAGCAACACTACTGCACATACCACATTGCTCCTCCCCTTAGTGCTTTTGCTGCCAAATTTTGTGTGGCTCATTTTGGCCCAACTTATTTCTAAGACGTCTTTCCTTCCCTCTGCATGCTGGTGAAAACACATCTTCATTTTCCATAATATCCCATACACATTTCCAACATTGCATTTAGCATGGCGCTTTACTCTATCTTTCCCATTACTTCCAGAGCTCTTTAATAGCAATGATTTGTGTCTTATTTTCATATCCTGTGCTTAGCACTGTGCCTGGTATACATTTCTATTCAATACATCAATCAAGTCCCCAATCGTGGTGATGGCACTTTGTAAGCACTAAAGGGAATTTTAAGGAACATAACAAATGCACTTTTTATTGCTGACATTTGAAAAGATTAAAATTTAAAGCTCTAGTAACCCTTGAAGGGGCCCTGATGATGTACTGGGTTATGGGTTGGACTGCTAGCCTCAAGGTCAGCAGTTTGAAACCACCAGCTGCTCCACAGGAGAATGATTTACAATCTTGGAAACACTCAGGGGCAGTTCTACTCTGTCTAGAGCAGGGGTGGGGAGCGTCCAGCCCCAGGTGTATCCGGCCGGTGTCATTACCAGTATTGGTTAGTTTCACACACCTCACCATAGGGCAGCAGCTGCAATCATCGCATTAGAGTTGAGTTAATTCAATATCTGACTGCGAGTGGTGTTGTAAATCTCCAAATAACCCTTGACACGGAAAAAAATTCCTTGGTGGCACTGGGGGTTAGGCGTTGGGGACATTTTCCCTAAAAACCCAGACAAAAGTCATCGGGAGCTCTGTGGACCACAGGCATCCCTGCTTTCTCCTGGACTCTGGGGTCTCCTGTCTGCTCCTCCCACGCTGCCATTCTCCCTCGTTCCTCTCAGTGCTCTACCTTTTCCACCTTTTCCGGTACCACTTCTTCCCTTGGGCGGCATCTCCGAAACTTGCCGATGAGCTCTCAATTGCTCCGGTAGCTTACAGAGTCCCTTCAGGCCCCACAGGCGTGTCCTAAACAATGCCTGAAAGCGGCGTGACTCTGGAAGCAGGCACGGACGGGGGCAGACGCGTCCTTCGCCCTCGGACCAATGCGGGCCGAAGAACTAAGCCCAAGCAAAAGCGTAGGAGGCGCGGGCCCAAAGGAAGGCTGGGGCAGGAAATCCCGCCTCTTCCGTTTTTGCCCCGTTCCGTGTTTGTCCTGCGACGTCCCGCCTCCTGCCTTCTCTACGCCTGCGTCCTAGGAGAGCCGAGCGTCCGCCTTTGGGCTCGCGGGACTGAGGACGGCCGCGCGCTCCGCGGGGCCACGCCTTCCCTCCCTTTATGAGGTGCCTCGCGCTTTGTTCCCGCGGTGCAATGGGTCAGCAGTTCGGAACTACCAGCTGCTCCGCGTGCAAAAGAGGAGGCTTTTTACTCCTGTACAGATTCACAGTTGCGGAAACCCACGGGAGCAGTTCTACGCTGACCTACAGGATTGCTGTGAATCAGAATCTGCCTGACGGCAGTGGGTTTGGTTTGGGTTCGCAGCTGTAGCTGATTGAGTTGGATCCAAAAACCTAACTCACTGCCATCAGTTGATACCATTAAACTCACAGGGGACCTTATAGGACAGAGTAGAATTAACCTTTTTGTGAGTTTTCTGGATACATAGGTGTTTGTGTTCTTTTTTTCTTTCAAAACGCCCGTCACCCTCTTGCGGAACTCAGAGAAAAATTGGAAGCAGTCTGGGTACTGCTTAGATAAATAATATATCCAATATAACTCAGAATCATAAGAGAGTCTGTGATATTCATTCCTGTAGAGGGATGCTAGGCCCTGTTACCAGCGCCGGGTTGTCCACAGGGGTACTACCAAGTCTCACGGTTGGAGGGGGGTGTTCAGCAGCAGCACCACCACCCACTTCCCAACCTCAGCAGAAAGAGTTAAGCAAAAAGTTTTATTTCCAAAAGGAATGAAGTGGGTCCGGCGAGAAGGCCCCAAGCTAGGGAAAGGCTTCTAGTTTTGAAAGGCAAAAAAGAGTGGGAGTTGCAGCTCCACAGATGGTCAAGCCGCTTGCTAATTAGTTGCTAAGTTCGTCCTTGGGTCTTAGGCCATTTATAATTTTTCTCGCGCTACAGTTCTGTGTCAGGAGGTTTCAAGTATTATCTCAGGTTATGACTCTGGTTTGGAGGTGTGCACCAGCCTGGTGGTTGAGACATTCACCAGACCAGGCTTGTTATCTTACGGCTCATTGTTCATTCTCTTGGCAGGCAGACTGTCCACTCCCTTAGCAAACAGAATGTTCATTATTAACAAGCAGAAGGGTTATTTCCTTAGCAAGCAAAAGTTCCTATCCTGTCCCTGTCAAGTCCAGACTTTATCATCGGATAGAGACCAGTGGAATCATCAAGACTAAGACTCTTCAGGTCTGACATGGAGCTCACCTCTGGGTTACAATCGCAAGCCATTTAAGATCAAAAGAGCAGCATTTCCCCAAGGAAAACTTCAGAGAACCAGGAAAGGAGGGATGGTAACTGCAAACACTGAGGAATTGGGATAAGTGCTGATGCACTGAGAGATTGAAATGGATAAATTGAAACAATATGTGTATGAGTTGTTGAATGTAAAACTATCTACTTCAGCGATATAAATCATAAACATTTTGAGATAAATGTTTCAGTCATGTAAAAGAGCACTGTACAATGATCGATGTATAACACTGCCCCCACCCCGCCGGGGACTGACAACAGAAATGTGGGGGAAGGGAGACAGCAGTCGATGTAAGATATGAAAATAATAATAGTTTAGAAACTATCAAGGGTTCATGAGGGAAGAAGGGTGGGGGAGAGAGGAAAAAGAATGAGGAGCTGATACCAAGGGCTCAAGTAGAAAATGTTTTGAAAATTATGATGGCAACATATGTACAATATGCTTGACACAATGGATGTATGGATTGCTATAAGCTGTAAGAGCCCCCAATAAAATGATTTTTTTAAAAAAAGCACATTATAAGGTTCTTTGTACAGATCATCTTAAGGAATCTTCCAGATCAAAGTGGAGAATATGATTCAATTCTTTAAAAAAGTAGATAGAGTGTTATACATATGTGTGTGTATACGTACACATAAAGGACAAGGACTCTATACAGCAAGATGTGACCAGTGGTGCAAGTAAAGATTATGGTGTATGCTTCCATATTTTTTCCAAAAATTATATGATGTTGCAGTATAATGTAGAAATTATAGGGATGTATTATTTTTTAACTGCCATACTTCACCATCTACTAGCTCTGTGACCTTGGGGAAGTTACCTCACCTCTCACTGGCTCAGTTTCATTTATAAAATGGAGTTGATAATAATTGCATCCACTTACAGGTGTTCGGGGAGCTCTGGTGGTGTAGTAGGTTATGCA